AAAAAGAAGAATAAAAAAATAAAGAAATAAAATAAATAAACAAGACAAATCCTAGTTATCTTCAGAGACTAAGTTCCTTCAACACTTCATCTAACTAACTTTGGATCCTATGCCACCCGCCTTAGCATCATGAGCTACGACGCTTCTTTAATTGCCAGAGATTAGTCACCACAGGGACAGCAGCAAAGCCCAGGCACACTATGCAGTATGCTAAGAGGCCCACCGGACTGATGACTGCATAGAAAAAAACTGAAATTGTGCTCTGCTGTAAACTCATAATGTCTCTATTGTAGATTATAATACCTTGCATGGAACATTAGATGACCTGAAAGACATCAACGCTGAAATAAATCAAACCCTGAACTCAAATTATGCAAATCCCTCAACAGATGTCACTTCATCATAAAAAAGTCGTGGGGATTTAAAATTTCTCATGACGCCAGTAATCAACCAACTCCCAGCACTACATACAAACTTATGAAGAATTTCCTCCGCTAATGAAGGCAAGAAGGAACCCCGAAAAATTATAACTGCCTCGAGCCAAGACAAGAACGCTATGTATGGGGGGAGATTGGGACGACCTTTCCATGTTGTCGTGTATGAGGTCTATTTTGTTTCGAAAATACACAAGATTCAGGATGAATGAATAGTGTTTGGATATTACGAGACTGTAGAACCCAACACTACCTATCTCGAGACTAACTTGTGTAGTTGAAATGCTTATAGTAAAAAAAGTCGGTGAAGAATTGGATTCTAATTGAAAAAAAAACATCACAACAACGATTTTCAACATGCCAGTTGAAATAAGTCCAAACCACTTATTGTCTCTGTGTATGGCGTCTGATGCTTGAAGCAATGATGGAAGCGAGGACGTACCCCACCCTTGGATACGCCAAAGTCAGGAAGGGATTCCTGTGTGGCAGACTTGAAATTCTGGGGAATCATCGGACCGGGGATTTATTTATTTATTTAATGTGTGTGTGTGTGTGTGTGTGTGTGTGTGTGTGTGTGTGTGTGTGTGTGTGTGTGTGTGTGTGTGTGTGTGTGTGTGTGGTTTCTTTAGATTGTGGTAGTGTGTGTGTGCGAGAGGTAAACGGCTATGTGATGGTTGCATCTCTAACTTCAGTGTGCATGCATGTTTGTGTATGAAACTGATACTTAGCTATGTCAAGGGTTTCGTATTCAAAAATTTCCTCAATGATTCTTCTATAGTATAACTAACAGAACAAATATGAAAGAGAATATGTGACTAAGCGTGAACACTGGATACACATTTTTGGAAACAAAGTTACCGGTGGAAGTTTAGAACACTAAATTAAAACTATAACCTTTTTGCTTAGATTTTATATTAGTTTATATTTGCTGATATTTTGCGGGAAAAAAATAAAGTAAAAGAGGGCAGGGGTGTTTTAGATAGAAAATGGATTATGAAGGGGAATTAAAATATAGGATAGATGCAAATGAAGATGTGATGAGAGTGTTTGGGAATACAAATGAAGCGGGTAAAAAGTGTCATTTTTGGGATGTATGAATTCATCGACAACTAGGTCTGATTATTACCAAGGGAAGGTGGACGAAAGTAGAGCATGGTGAATACACAGCACATAAATATAATATAGAAGTAATAAAAAATGTTAAGAAAAGAAAAAAAATCGTCAGTAGAGTAATGCAACTGGAGATGCTCTAAGAGGGAGTGTAAGAAGGTTTGTGATATTGCGAGAGTAAAGCAAAGTAGACAAAAAATATACATCAAGAGTTAGTTGTGGAGTGACAGAGGACAAAGTGCGACGAGAATATAATATGATATAATATATCCGGCTATTTTTCGTAAACGTATCTATATGCTATTGTCTTCTGATTCGCTTGTCTGCCTTTTGCAATTGCACAAACACACTCCTGCAGTCACAGGTAATCGAGTGAGAGAATTTAGCTAGTTTTTAAGATATTCCTTACTCTGAAACCTCTCCGTCTGTAAGCCTTTCATCCTAACACCACTAGGCGGGCAAGTCGTGGTAACAGCGCCGCCGAATTCTTATCTCTGAGGGGCGTCAAAGCGGCCAACCCTCTCCTGTGTTTGGTTAATCCAGGCCAAATTCTGAGGGTGACTTCTGCTTTTATTATTAGTAGGATTATTTTTGTAAATGTATTTTTTTTTTTATGATAACTAATTTATTTTTTTTGTTATATTTTTTTTTTCTCTTATAGCCTGAAATGTAGTTTAAGAATTTGGAACGGTTACAGTTATTTTATCTTCGTGTGGGTGTGTAGATTAGTGTAATGAAGGTGGTTGTGATAGCTGATCCCTCTTGCTGGCACCAAATAATATAGTGCTTTGTTTTATCCCTGAGCGATGCCACCAAATATGTAATGTAGGTGTTAGTGATATCCCCTCTCTCTTTCTGTATAGAACTGGTTTGGTACTTGAAGTGTGTAGTGTTGAAGTTAAAGTTCTCACAGCTTCAAGTTTTTATTTCTGCGGGAGCGTGGTAGGTGGGATACAGAGGACGGGCAAGACAGGGGCAAAAATTGCTGAGTATTCACAAAACATAAAAGCATTTGAATATCGACAATGTTAGCGGTAACATACATAGTAATTTAGAATAAGCATTTTCTAACGAACATTTTAAGTATAAACAACACATAGTTATACACATAGACAACGGAATAACAGCATGGGAAATGTTCACCAGCAATAAGGGTTGAATTAGCGTGTTCTAAGGTTATTTGTCATTTTCACGGCTGAGGACAGTGAGATAAGAACACATGGCTTTTCTGGTATGTGACACGAGGGAGATCACGAGGACAGGTCACTAGAATTGGTGTAGGTGCTTCTTCTATGAGTGGTAGTGTTCTGGCCCAGCAAGAATTATTCATGTTTTATTTATGTTTCTCTATGATTTATTGCTTATCATAGTGTTCGCTTAGTCACGCCCAAGTGTTTTTTTTTCAGTGTATATGGTTGTTACTATGCGTTAAGTTTCGTATAGGGTTTCTGTAGGAAGTTGCACCATGCACCCAGAGTAATGCTTCGTCCTGTACTGATAGCATTTTTAGTTTTTAAGTGTTAGTGCAACTACTGTAGCTCTGTATTCTAGTGTAGCGAATCATCCCTTCTGTAGTTCGAACCACTCTGACGCTCGTGGGGCATGCTGTCTTTGTTTTCACACGTTTAGTGTTTAGCACGTAAATCATAAATAGAAAAAGTAGCTCATGTTAAGGGTGGCCACAAGTCATTATCAAAATCTCGTTTATAAACTGTGTATAGTTCTCTTTGTCGTGTATTTAGCAATGATGGTCACGCCCTTGCTACAAACGGACAACAGGAAGAATGAAAAAAAAAAAAAACTCTTGAGGGACTTGTGTAAGGGCAGGTGGCCACAAGAAAGGGAAGGGAGTTCAGGAGGCGACAAAGTGCACCTAAATGTCACCTCATATTGGTGGACCTCTTTATCCAGGGGTCTAAACCAAAGGTTGCCATGTGATAAAGAGTACTGCATATCTGAGGAGAGGGTTCAAACTTGATAATCCTGTTCCTTTGATCATAACGATTTGAGTATATGAATAAGTTCATGATGAGAGAAGTAACAAAGAGAATACAAGCAGGCTGGGGAGCTTGGAAGAAGGTCACAGGAATAATGTGTGACAGGAAAGTTTCGAGGACTGCAAAAGGGAAACTACAAGACCATGGTAAGACCCGCAATGTTATATGGCATGGAAGCAGCAGCTGTCACAAAAGGGCAGGAAAAGAAGATGGAAGTGGCAGAAATTAAAATACTGAGGTGGTCATTAGGTCTTACAAGAAAGGACAGAGTCAGGAACGAGAAAATAAGAGAGAGACTAAGAGTGGAGGAACAGAATGGAAAGCTACAGGAAAGCAGAGTACGGTGACTGGGACATGTACGAAAAAGATGAAGGATACGTAGGGAAGCGTGTGAGAAGTATACAGGTGGGAAGGAGAAAGACAGGCAGACCAAAGAGAAGATGGGAGGATTGCGTGAGAGAAGATAAAATGCAGAGAGGACTGAGCGAAAATGATGCAGCAGATAGGAAGCTGTGGAGGAGGAAGATCCGTACCGGCGACTCCTTTAACTGGGACTAAAGCCAGAAGAAGAAGAAAAAGTTCATGATGATTATGATTATGCTAATGATAATAATTATAGTAATGATGGTGCTACTACTACTGCTAGTACTAATTATTTTTGATAATGATGATCATCAGCGTAGCGGCATTTAAAATTTAGGGGAGCTGCAAATTTTCTGCCCGAGTGAAAGAGGAAGAGAAATTTCACCTGCCAGGAAATTTGTGATGAATGCCACCAGTGGCGTAGATATAGGGGGGGGGGGGCAAAAACCCTCCTATAAGGCCAAACTGCCATTTTGTCGGAAAATTTCTGTACTTGTCGGAAAAATAACGATGGTTTTCTGTTTCGTTTATTTCTAGTGGCCTTATGTTCAAAATAATAAAAAGTGAGAATTAGTGTGATTTTTTTTGTGATATCTTCATTTCTCGCCACCTTCTATGCATTTTCCTATCTACGCCCCTGCCCAAAATTGCCCGAATTCAATCAGCATTTACCCGACTGGGGGGCTTCAGCCCCCCCCCCCCCCCAGCCTCCCTGGCTCCTACGCCTATGATGATGATGCGTATAGTGATAATAATAGTGATAATCATTTCTGTATGTCAAATATTACATTAGGGTTTTGCAATACATTGCCTAGAATAAGGTTACATTCAACTATTAGTTTGTCAGGAAGATATTTAAAACTAAACAGATCACAATATAATCACTGAACCGACTACAAATTCATTTTTTAAGTGAAGAGTTAGAAAAGGGACATTTCTTAAATTGAATGTTTTGTCTCTCTCTCCCAACTCCTATATATTTAAAACAAAACAGATCACAATACAATCACAGAACCTACTACAAATTCATTTTTTAAGTGAAGAGTTAGAAAAGGGTCATTTCTTACATTGAATGTTTTGTCTTTCTCTCCTCTAG